AAGATTTAAATCTAAATATTTTATGGTGTTTACCTTGTACACTTAATGGTTTAAGATTTATGTCACTTACCTGTACATACAGTTTCTCAAATTATGATGAATTTGTCTCAAGGTGTCAAAAAAAAATTAAAAATAAGATAGATGTAAAACCTCAAAAATTAAGATGCAAAGCTGGTTTTAACCCAAACATTTCATAGTATATTTTAAGCTATTTCTATTTTAACTTTTACTTTCTCAACCTACCTCTCTTCCTCCTTCATGGCTGAGGTATCACCTAAAATGTGTTTGCAAAATGGAATTTTAATCTTAGTCTACATTATAACAGAAAACTAAATCTTTCTGGTGAAGCTGCCTTAAGGTCATTAGTAAGCTTGAGAGGTATAATGGAGATGACAGCCTCAGCACGTCTAATATTGTGCTAAACACAGCCAAGCCCTTTAGGACAACTGCAACAAGGTGCTGGAAGTGGTTGCTAGTACTAAGGAGCTAAGACTCTGACACTCCTAACAGTGTTTCAAAATGCCTAATTAAAATTGTGCAGGGTGGTATTTCACGTTGTGTGGGCACCACATTGTATGGGCACCAATGTGAAGATCAAACATGCCCACTCCTGTGCAAGTTCCAGCTTGAGCAAAGAGCTGACCTGTGGTACATAAAAGTGAAGAGCCCATGCAAAGGGCTTAGAAGCTCATTTTAAGTTGATTTTCTAAACTTTGGTGATGACCCAGAATGATCCAAAGATGTGTCTTAGTGAAGAACATATGGCTCATCGTTAAAAATGTATCAAAGAGCTTCTCTTGCCTTTCTTTCTCATGAATTGTCTCTTCAATATAAATTATCCCCTCATGTGACCCCAGTCTGGTGGCTGGCACTCACAGGCAAGAGCATCAGCACACTATTAGCAATTACCTTAGTGATATTTACAGCATTTTAATGTCAATTGTCTGTATGTAAATAGAGTCTGTGGGGAACTCAGTGCACCTGGGGCTCCTGCTCCCACTAGAACAGCTCTGCTCCTTCTACACAGCAGAGTGCATCCTGCACCATATGTGTCTGCCAAAAATATAATTTCAATTGCTTTATGACAAAATAATGAGTCTGTCAAAGATGAGTGGTCAGAAAAACAAATTTGTTCTCCCACACAATTAGAGTTTATAGCATTGGACAGCAATATCAATCTCCAGCGATTCACAATTGAATTTGCATGTTGGAAGGAAGTGTTTTCTTGTCTGTGCTGTAACCAGGCTGCTTAGCCAGAAAAGTCCTCGCCATTTCAACTGGAAAGATGGGTATCAGCTGAGTTGAGGAAAGATCAGGATGGAAGTTTCCAAATGCAGACCAGTGATGTGGGGACATGGGGTTCACTTTACGAGCTCAGCACTGACAGAGCTGCTCCCACAAGTATCAACAAAAATTGCACATAGAGTTACTAATATTTAATATTTATAATCATGGACTTGAGACATTCTTTGTAAAGATGTACAAAGCATTAGACCTCAGCAATACCATTTATGGTGAGCATACACTGTATCACAGACCTGCCCTTTGCCCTTAACATTTGCTTTATCCTTACATGGGATTTTGCCCTTAGGCTGTTTGCCAGCGCAGTACAAAGGCTGCAGCATACATCCTCTTCTATTTGCTATACTTTAACCCATATTGTCAAGCCTGTGTTACTTGTTACAGCTCCCTCAGACATCCCTTCTCACTACACATGCAAACCCTCTTGACATGCCAAGCAGCTGCTACCCACTTACTGCTACCCAATAATTGCATTTCTGGGCACGTGTATGTAATGCCTTGTGAAGTAAATAGAATTTTTCTTTTGGATTTCAAGAAACTATATATGCATGAAATGTTGTCACCTGGAATTCAGTGCACAGGATGTTGTAGCAATATTTTAGGTTTTCAGAACTCCTCCATTTTGACACATACAGCCAAAGTGACCACGTACTTCTAATGGAAGAATCTACAAGGCCTATATGAAATTTTGTGTTTAATATGCTTTGTATGTAAAACTAATTAACCCTTTTTGTTACTATCTCAGATTTAAAGCAGTAACAGCTAAGAATAGCCCTTCAAAGCAAGTGTTTAAAGAACTTATAAATGGTACCTAGGATTTTCAGTAATAATTTATCATAATGGATATTCACATAAGGTAACAAAATATTTCCTTACCTCTGGAGCAGAAAAGAAAGGTACTCATCCTTAAAAAAAGAGACAAGACACATGAAGGACTCTGAACTGGGGCAGTCTTCCATAGGGATATGATGTCCACATCTTGAGAGTGATCTGATAGGAACCTGAGTCAGCTACCAGATCAGTGGTGCTCCGCTGATTCACGGTTGCTTCGAGTGTCTAAGGTCCAGCTCTTTGTTATCCAGTACATCTCATCGCAGGAGCAATTCTGTCATGGTTGGTCTGGGTGGTACCTGAATTGTCTTATTTCTGTAACCTTAAATGTTTCAATTTGTGTTACTGTTTATCCTGCAAATAGAAGCAGCTTTTTATTATACTTTAGCCGTCTCTCAGCCCTGCTTTGTACATTTACCTCTTTCATTCATCCAGAGAAGTCTGCCCCTCAAGCACAGCCGGCATTTCTTTTCTTTGCTGGAGTCTTTGAGATTGTCCATATGTACACTTTGATGAGGTCCCTGGGACAGATTGCCCAATACCTAGTGTAGCCTTCCTTAAACAAGCAGAAGTATACAAAATATGGTTTTTCTCTTTCAGTAAAAAAGTCTTTCCACATACAGTACAGAATTTAGTATTGCCTGGTTTTTCCCCAGACACAGTCAGTACCCTCCAACTTATTTTCAGTTTGCTTTCCACAGATGCTTTTTGTTCTCTTTCATTTGCCTGCTGAAACACTGTCTGCATTTTATACACAATCAGTATTCAGCTACATCCTTGATTTGCTGAGGAAATCATGATCAATCTCTCTGAGATCTGGGAAGTGACCTCTGCATAAAATTGGTACGACTGAGAGAAGAATCAGAGCCTCTGTGGTTCAATCCTCTGATTGTCTTTTTTTCTGCTTATCCTTCTGTTCTTTTATTCCCTATGTGGCTGCTGACACCCACAAGAATTCCAGCTTAATCTCTTCAGTTTTCAATAATCTAATTATTTGTTTATATTTGCATAATGCTAACGATCATAAACCAAACTTTTATATTGTCTATACACTAAGAAGGCAAAGGTAGCTTTTTGCCACACATTTGCTGACATTTTGTGGTTTAGTTAGTGCGGTTTTTAAAAACATTTCTTTTTGCGCCCACTTTTAACTAGCTCTCATTAACCCTGCATTTGACATTTTTAATAGAAATCTATTTTTTTTACCTTGATCTTTGATCTTGAGTTAGTCTTGTAGAAAACCACAATGGTCACTTTTGTTCCTTACTTTCTTATACTTGGAAATTATACACAGCTAAGTTTATGGGCAACTTAGGATTTTCGGGATTATTCAGCATTATCAGCTCCTTTTTCTGCTCAGTTGTTTTAGGTTTTTACGTTTTGACAATCTATTCTCTGCCCACAGAGGTTTTAGACCAGTCTTTTATTTTTTTCAGTGATCAATTTTTTTTTGTTGCATTCACATTAAATCATACTCCTAGAAGGCTACACCTCTCTCCCTATTGCTGTTCGGTTTTAGTTTGTTGGGGTTTTTTTTTCGGGAGGTGGTTTGTTTGGGTTTCTATTTAATAGAGGGGAGTAGAAAGTTTGTTCTCCCCTTGAACATGATATTATTTGGAATTTTCTTTTAAGGCAGGATGCAGCCTTTTGCGAGGAAGGATTTTCAAAATGCTTATAAAACATCCAAATAAGTTAATGTTCAGAGAGGCATTGACTGAATGAATCTGTAATTACTCTGCTGGTTTAGGGCAGGAAGACCCATGTAGCAGTTTAGGAATTGCTTAGGAAATGCTTTAGGAAGTGGCTGAGATGTCTTCCTACATTTCCTGTTCTGTGCGTGTTTGTTCTGCATGCCTGTGTGAGGGCTGATTGTTTTAAGTCTCAGATAATAGAATTTTAAAATTTGACAGAAAATCGCCAAGTACTTCCACAAGAAAATTTGTTTTCCTGGTTTTGTGGGAAAACTGCCTGTATTGGGTAGAAATATAGACCTCCAAAATCCGTTGTTGTCCTTTGTCTGTGGGAGCTTCGTGGCTAAAATCACAGAAGATTCATTCTGCAGAACCCTGCCCATGTACTGCATGGACCGCAGAACAGCTACCATGGCCTGATGCCACCACACTGGGCTGAGAAGCACTTCCTCTGCAGCAGTCTTGCCCAAAGAAATTAAAAAACTGGACACCAGAATGGGCAGCAGAGCTATTCCGTTCTGTCCATATTCCCTTGCTTGGGAAATAAGGACAAGGAAGAGGCAACTTATGAAGAGGTGATTGCAGTGGAGTTAAGGAATGTGGGAAATAAAAGGAAATCAATGTGCGTGAGAATTTATGGGAATTGTTTGCGTATGCATGTATAAAACTATACATACAAATATGTGGTTTGTATATTTTGGTCTGTGAGCTTCCCTTCTACCCAAGTGTGGCACTGCAGAGGATATTTAATTGAAATCTGTTTTCACAAACCACCCAGGCCTAATTTGGATCTTAATTTGGGCCAGATTCTCAAAGGACATAAGCAGAGGACTTGTTTTGTTCCTGGGAGTAGTAACTCCTGAATTTTTCCAAGATTATAAACCCATCTGTAGTGAAAACTATGAATAATTTAGTCGATCCCAGTGGAGTTGCATTAGTGGAAACAAGAAAAGATTCAGCCTTTTGGAATCTTGGTGTTTTTAGGCCTGTGCAAGCTGAAGATATTACAACATGCTATTTGAGTGATGTCTTGTAAAGCATGTTAAAACACTAATACAGGCACAGCACAGAAACAGAGTGGGTACCATAGGACATGCTTAACTAAGATTGAATCTGAACTGAAAATCACCTCTAAGTAATATCCCACTCTTTTTTTTTCTTTCCTTTTAAAAATAGGTGTAAATGCAACCTTCATGCTACTGGCTGTAAAGAAGAAAACAAAAGACTACTTTGTGAATGTGAGCATAACACAACTGGCCCAGACTGTGGAAAATGCAAGAAGAATTACCAGGGCCGACCATGGAGCCCTGGTTCTTATCTGCCTATACCTAAGGGCACTGCCAATATCTGTAAGTTGTTCTGTATAATAAGGATATTTCATTATTAGAATTCTGTCCTGTATCTTGACTCTGAAGGAAGATTAATGCTGGCAAAAGTTTGTAATTTCTTTATGACCCAGTGCATATAATTTGGAAAAGTGTCAAATTGTGTTAATTGTAAGTAAACATAATCTGTGCTCTTACATGATTGTAAATAACTTGCACGAGAACCACACGTTTGGGTCCATAGACAAACCCCTGGACACTACACAGAAAAGGCTAAGTAATGAGAAAAAGCACACATGAGGAACATCTGCAATACTGTTCTAGCTATGGCACCCTCAGATCTCCATCCTAATTGCCTCGAGATTCAAAAAAACCTCAGGTCAACATGGAAGATGAGGCCTTTGCTCATTTTTTGTGCATTTAAAGTTTTAAAATCTCAGAGAAAATTCTTCCAATTAATAACTAAATATCTAAAGGTTGGTAAAGGAAGTTTTTACCTGATGTCGACCTGCAGTCCAGATTCATGTCCACTCTTTTAGATCATGGAAGGTGCTGAAGTGGGAGATCGAGGGCAAACCCAGCGTTTTTTATCTGCTTGTTTCCAGCTGATAGCCATTCAAGACCACTCGTATACACTATTCCAGCACATTTTCATATTATTCAAAGGAAGTTATTGACCAGCTGCATTTCCTGGTCCTCAACGGGACTGGGTCAAAAAGAACATGGTGCTGAAAGAGAGGGCATGAAAACAAGTATGAACATTAATTCTTCCTTTCATGTATAAAATACATAATGATTCAGAATCCTCCTGAACAGACTTAATAGACTTAAATTCCTTTGAAGAAAGGATTGAAGATGAGGATAAATCACCAAAACTTTTGACAGAGTTACTAGCTTCTTTTAAGAAAAGAGTCCACATCTTTGCCCTGATTAAAAGCAAGGCATTTGTCTTAGAGTATTAGAATATAACCATTTACTAAAAAGCTCTTTGAGAGAAACGAGCTATGTACTGCAGTCAAATGAAAAGTTTAAAACCAGGAGCAGTGTGCAATGCTTAGAATGTTATCTAAGACTTCAAAGCAGCAGTTGTAGAGAATCAAAACTCAAAAATTAGTATCATAGGAAGCAGGACCTTATCAAGTTAAACGTGAGAGTATTAGAGCAAGTAACAAACCGTGAAGTGTGAGGGCATGAAATTATGATAAAATTCTTACTGAGATGAAAAAAAAATGAACTTCCAAAAGGCAGGAGAAAAACATTTTGTAAAGTATTCTTTTTTACATATGGCATAGAAAGTGAGTGTGGCTCACAGAATGATTACTTTAAAAATATGTTTGGAAAAACTGGTGATATATACCAGGTTGGTTTTATTTATATATTTTATATACATACACACACACACGCATAGGTATGCATAAATATACACATTTATATATTTATATTATATATAAATATATATACTTAAAATGCAGCTGCTACCTCAGCAGTCATTTAAACTAGTGACAAGATCCATCCGAATGTGAAAACGGGATCTTTCTGAATGCAGCTTGGTGTGTCAGCTACATCATCAGTTGCCCATCAGTTGAGCACAGAAGGAACAATAGAATCAGAGCCACCAAAAGGATGCCTGAAGCTTGTTAAAACAATGTTAAACATTATTGAATACACAGTTTCATCAAAAATCAAAATGTTTTGCAAGTACTAGTCAGTCTTTTCTATTCATTATTATTATGATAAGCATAATGAAAACCTTGTTTGGGCTGACAGCTGCTCCACTTACCCTCAAATCCTGACTTCAGCAGTAATCAGCAGGAGGAATTAATGACAAACGGGAAGAAGTATGAAGGATTTCTTCTTTGCCTTCCCAGTTGCCAGCAATAAACTGGCTTTCTGAGCTGGACCCTTCATCATGCCCACAGTGGTTGCTAGCTGCTGAGTGGAGAGACCCAGCTGCCATAAACTTGATCTTGGTGACATCTTACAGCAATACATTTCACATTTTAATGGCACAGTGATTGAAAGGTATTTCCTTTTCTTTGCTTTAAATGTTTTTATACAGTTCTGCCTCTACCTCCTTAGACAGGAAGAAACAGAATAATGCATCCCTGTTTACATCCATGTACCATTTATGATTATAGAGTCTTGAAAAAACCACTCCAACCTATTTTCTACTAAATGACAAATCTTGATTGCTTTAATCTTATACCACATACCACTAAACCATACCACATCTCTGGTCATCTGTGCTTTCTTGCTACCCTCTAGTTCTATGGTGACATTTTCTTATTTGGTGAGGCTAAAACTACACTTGATATTCTAGACATGAGAGCAATATGAATCTTTTACAGTGGCACAAAAATATGTCTGCTTTATATTTTGTTATTACAGGGATCAGCCCTTGAGACCTTTTTAAAGTCTGTGCCACAGTTACATTTCTGCTGGTATCAAGGCTGACATAAGTGACAGGTTATATGTTACGGTAGTTCAGAAATGTCATATTTGAGTTCCTTTAAAACACTTTTTGGGTGAACATAACCTTACAGCAGTTCTTAGTGTTCAATATTATTTACATCTTCTAAAGCACCTTCAGGTGATGACAGACATTGAGAGACTTCCTCAGATTGTGAGAATCTCTCTAATCTTTGCTGTGAACACCAGTGAAAACAAGTAATTTAGTATTCAATACTTTTATACCTTGATTATCTGTCTACCCAATCAGCTCACTGGGAGGCCTCCTTCTTCTACTGTGGTTATTTTAACAAAAAATAATTATTTAGTTTTATGTCTATAGCAATTTTATTCTTAAAGTACTGTACTTTATATTTAACTTGACAGATTATATGCCTTTTTTCCCCACCTTTCTCCATTGAGATGACATATTTTTGAAGCATGCCTTTCCAAAATCATCTTCATTTGGTTGGGTGTTGAAAGGGGTTTTTTTGTTCATAAGATAGTACAGTTTTATAGGTTTGTTTTTTTTTAAAAAAGGTGGGTTGTGTTGAGTCTCTCATACATTTTAGCCTGCTTCCAAGCTGTTTGCATTAAATCATTTTAGCTCTTTATTTTTCTTTTAACTAACTTCTTCATTTCTTAATCTGCTCACTCTCTGGAAGTTAATATTACTGCAGTGGATTTTTCTTATCCTTTTCCTTCTCAATAAGTATGTTGACTTTCAGTTAAGAAGTGGTTCTCTGGTAACTACTTTTTGAATCAGGTCCTATGTACTACTCAAAACAGCTTTTCTTCTTGTGGGTTCTTTGATCACTTGCTACAAGCAGCAATAATTTATGGTACATAAAAGCTTCATTTCTTTTGTCACTTCCTGATGTAATGCTGCATGTGTTGGAGCATATTAAATTTTGCATTACTGTCTAAACTCTTTGCACAGCCAAAGTAATTTTGCTTACCCTGTTGTGTTTATGTCACCATCTCCATCGTGTGGTCTCTATTCTAGCCCTGGCATTATGCTCTTCTTTCTCAGGTGTGAATTCCATAAACAGTTGCTGGAACACAAGGTTAGAATCAACTTATATTGTTTGACCCTAAACTTAATTCCCTGAGGACACTTGGTATAATCCAGTAATACAGTGTCCCTTAGCTACTCTTTCGTCCAATTTTTCAATGTTTTACCTTTTCCAAGACCAAAATATTTTAAACTTTAAATGCATCTGAAGGGTATTTTATGATTGTGCTTGAAGAAGATGTAGCTAAAAACAATTGTATAAATGAAACACACTAGCAGTTGGTTTTTTTTTAACAAAATGAAGAGATCCTTTTTTCTTGAAATTTTCTAAATTTGGGAAATTTGCTTAGATTTAACAAGAACTGTAATAGCCGTTTCCAGATTTTTCCCAACTGGAACTTCTGTTTTTTCCAGTTCTGCTTCTGCTTTTTTTTTTTCCCCCCCTGCATTTTAGGTTTTCAGACTACAGCTCATGCAATACAGGGCCATTGTAGATTATTCTGCAGTCATAGCCTAAACCTGGGTATAAAGCTGTTTTCTCTATCCTTCTCATTTGAAGTCAACACGAGTTTTTCAGGACAACACAGTGTTTTTTCCATGCTCTACTTGTGAAAGACACTGAGCACTCTGCTGTTCACTGGCGCTAACAATATTTCCACGCTTGTCTCCTGCATAACGTTTATTTTATATTTTCACTCTATCTTATTGACTATTTTGTGATTATATTTATTCCCTTGTGCTGCCACATTCTGTAGATAGTTTGTTCTGCAATATATTTTGACACTCAAAGTGAACTTATTGAATTTCTTTGTACTTGGTATTACAAGCTAGCTTTTTTCCTCAGCAGTCGTGTGTCTGATGGCATTAGCCCTTTTCTTCCTCCTGTTGCTTAGATCATCTTTGGCACTTACGTTCTTTGCTCCATCAGCCAGAGCTGTGTACAACTGTGCTGGGCTCCCATCCATCAAAGACTGCTCATTTTTTGTCAATCCCTTCACAACCAATAACTTGAACCAACAATGCTTGGCACTGGGTGAAAACCACCTCCCAGCTGTTACATGACTTTCCTAATTCACAGTTCAACATGAAACAAAGGATTGAGCAGAACACAGGGAACACTGGTGGTTCTTTTTGCTGAACAGTGAGGCAGATACTCACTTTCAGTTTACTGAATTTCTCCTGCAGTGGGTCCCCCTCTGATAGCAAAGCCTTTGTCTCAACAGCATGGCTTTAATCCTCCCTGAATGGGAAGACTTATCAGGCATCACTGCCACACAACTGCCACAGAAAAAGTTTCTGGCAAAAAAATATGGCAATTAAAGTATTGCACTGATTAACCTCATTTGTGTTTGTAGTTTTCTCCACGGCTGACTCAGAGCCATCTTGAAGGACAGGGGTAAACAAAATTGGCCAAGAAGTTGTGTGATAGCAGTTTTAAAGGAATCTATGTAGCATGTAACCTTGTAACTGAAAAGATCACGCCTCCTGCTTTTCCTGTCAAAGCACAGATAGTGTCCAACTTTCTAAGGGCCACATTCTCCAAAAGAACTGGAAGGAACTT